CAACCCTGATTGTTTTTATATGATCGTATGTGTGTTGATTACTTACGTGATTCATGATGTGTCTGTAATGTATTTTTATTTGACTGAAAATGTCGAGTCACACTTAATTATATCGAGTTGGATTACTTGCCTTCTCCAATATACTTCTCTCTTTCCTCTTTGATTTGTCTCCGTGATTACGGATTCAAATTAATGAGTGCATAAAAGATACATATTCAGAATCCATTCTCGTATTTGGCTTATATAATTCCGTTATTCACTAACGCGGATTAAATCGAAAATTATATATGAGGATAGCTGACATATGATTTCGATGACAATCATTCATATAATCCAAATGGAGTCAGATCTCAGATCACTAAAATACCTTATTTAAAAATTCTGTCATAAAGTGCTAAGCATGATAAAAACTAGTAGTAACTTAAATGTTACAAAATGGTTACTTAGATAGAAGCTAAAATAATCTTTGAAATAATTGTTAAATACTAAAAATTAATGAGGCGTAAAAACAATATCATACAATAAATACACGCTATCTTAAATTACTTCATAAATGTTTAATACTGCTTAAAGTTGAAATTACACGTTTCCACTAAACTCAATGGTGTGATATAAAACAAAAACGTTTATTGATCAAGTTCAATAAACTAAATAGAATACACTTTGATGGAGTTTTGATGAATTTTTTGGAATACCATTTTGCAAGTTCTTACGATGAAAGTATTCAGTGTTTCAAATATAAAACTTAAGACAAAATGTAAAGAAACGTGATTATTGGAGATTATGGTTTTTTAACAAAACTCAAAAGGGAAACAAAATCTAATTCTTTGGATAATAAAATTAACAGAGTATTAGTAAGCGGATAATTATTCTACTGTTAGATTTTATCACTGATGAAGTTTTCTCATACTCCAAATAGAAAATAAATATCTATTATTATTTGAAATAACGAGAATAAAGATTTCTAGACGTATCGAGGATTGTGGTTTAAACCAAGTTGATTGTTATCAGAAGTAAACTATTGATTACGAACGATCTTTGAACAAATCTTAAGTGACTTTGAGAATTTCAACCAATCAAAAAATAGTCTCTTTAGAGTAAAAATATACAATACAAAATCGAAAAATTAGAGTAGATGCACTTCTTTACCATGGTTTAAAAACTTTTCAAGGTTAGAAAGAGGCTCTGCAGATCTGAAATCATGATGCATATGATACAGTAACCCATCCATTTGACTGCATAACAGTCGACCTCTGGAGCTGTGATAAGGTTGCGAAAATTCTTTTGACCTCGACCACATTGCTTCTACACTAGTTGTGTGCACTACAGTAGTGGGGTCCACAAAGCGTTGCTTGTGGACCGATAGGACGATTCACATAACGACGTTTATATAAGCATCGAAACGCTCTCCAGTCATTTGTGTATATGATAGATCACGGCTGCATATACTCTCGTATAATCAGTATTACTGTCGTCAATTTTCGGTTTTTAACGCGTTTGAGGTCTCTTTTTGAGATGATCTATCGTATATTCCAAGGACCTGAGAAGTATAGTTATGGAAGTGCTACTAACCCAGTCCTCCTTAACACTTTGACCCCAAATGAATTTTCGTTTTCTAACAACCGTTTCTTTTATTTCTGCGTTTCTTCCAGCTCCTCCAAACGACTCATGCAAGCTTGTGGTTTTTACCGCTCATATATCTCAGCATACTCATACCAGTGAACTACTGAAGCTTCGGTAACATCTGCAGTGGTTGCAGTCAGTGTTACTGGTGCTTTTGTTATCCAGTTTACAACAATTATCATAAGTTGTCTTAGAATCAGTCGGGATCAAGCGAAAAATTTTCTCGTTCTAGCAGACTTTTTCCTCTAACATATAACACATCCAAATAAATCACGATAGTCTGCATAAGGTCCGGAATTCATTTGATTACCGCGATCACAAATAAAAGAACTTTTAGTTATCTCATTTGTTGTATCCGCTCCACCGTAACCTCTCGAAAGTCGATTGTAAACCGATCATACTTGAGCAGTGAGTACTGAAATGGGTATCGTGACCTTGAAATCGTCCAGACGCTTCTGATAGGCTCGTCCATAAATTATAGTCTCGCCTAATTTTTTTTGAATGCTCTCAATTATTACATATAATTCACTGTTAATGTCTGTTGTTATTTACGAACTTTTATTTATATTTCGTGCAAATTATTTCTACAGTTTTGGTGTTAGTCCTCAGTTAATGAAGAATAAATGACCTATTTAGCAATTATCACGTTCAGTAAGTTATTAAGGGAAATATTTTAGTAACCATCTCAGTCATCTTACATACCTTCTCATTTATTTCTATCATGACAAATAGTATTCGATAGAGTAAGTAAATGATAAGTGACTTAAGTATGAATTCTTTATAATTTATATTTTTCAAATCAATAATCAATACATAACTTCATGATTAACAGTTTAAGTTGATAATTTAACTGATAAAAAACAATCTTACTTAATCATATTACCTGCTAGATTGATAAATGTTTGGCAACTTGTAGGTCTATCAACTGTAAAACAACTTTGCTTTCATTTCATAATATTTACTCACATTGTTGGAAGGTATGTATACAATTCTTTTTCATTTAATGAGTACGTTGTTTGCTTATCGTTTTATTATTTTACATGTACTCAGACGCAGGTTTGGACTGTATACATATTTTTACTTCCCGTCTAATTAGTTCTTGTTGCTAATATGACTAATATTTCTAAGCAGGTTGCAAGAACACACAACGTATGAATACATGTTATTCCGTTTCAGTGGTTATTCTTGTTGCATTTGAAATAGCATGAAACAGATGCTCATACATACCAGTATATATAAATGGTTTACTATACTTATCATGGATTTGTAATACAGAATATATTTTTGAATTTAAAAAATCTTGATCCTTCTAGATCTATGGTGGACGAAGAAGTATACTGCAAACATTTGTTAGCGTGATTAAACAGTACGGTTGCTTCATTGTCTATCTAATTACAATCCTTCAGATATACTCTAGCGAACACGTTTCACATATCCCTTTCATTTTACTGCCAAATGCCTGCTTTTATTCTAGTTTGGAATATCCATAGTTGTAACATTATGTTGACTTTGAGTTTGAAGTAGGTTTTAAGTAATTACAAAAGATATTGGGTTTGATTAGTATATTGAGTTTGTGGAGATTATCGAATTTTATTTGTGTCACATCACTGATTGACCATAGTTATGTAAATATCGTACGCCCACCTACTGTTCGTCACGGGATTTAAGGTCCTGGGTTTGATCCCTGGCAAGGTCAAAATGCATGGTGATGAGTAGCCCTACACCAATACAAAACAGCTGTCTAGTAATTCTCGGTTTTCTAATCAAGTTCAGTCTATGAAATAAACATAATTACTTACAGTATTATTAACTGGAAAAATATTTTGAAAGTATAGTTTCAACTGTGTCCATACGTCATATTGAAAAGTCAAAATAATCAATTAAATAAACCTTTATCTTATTAGATTGTTAAATATAATGATTATCTGTATTAATTTAGAACCTTTTCAATTCTCCTGGTTGTAAACTTCGATGTACAACTCATCAGTATTCTCATAATATTGACGATCAGAATAATCGATACTCAGTTCAGTAAACAAGAAAAATAAGAAATTCATAACCCATGAGTCGTATGAAACCTATGATATGTATTTCGAATCGGTGATGGTTAGAAATGAATTTTTAATATATGAAATATGGAAGTTAGTAATTGGGTTACGCAAGTACTTTTATAAGACCAATGGTAAGCATGTTAAAGAATCCTCATATATGTATATTTGGTTGGGTTTTGTGGATATTATAGTAATTTCAATGGTTAAGATCATAAAGTAAGTTGAAGCTAGACCACCATGGAAAACCAGGAAGCATTGGACGACCCCAACCCATCTGATATTAATCAACATATGCTCACAAGCGACTGGCTTCAAGAGGTACATCCTGGAGTTCTAGTGAGAAGTAGTGACCAGTGGAGTTCAACCAGGTCTGTTGTGAGATAGTAACTCACTGAAGACAATGGTGGATGTGTCGCTCAATTTTGTGGATTAGTTAAAGTTAGACATCAACACCGTTGGATACTGGACGGCTCAGTGGTCTAATCGCTAAGTGCTCGCGCACGAAACCATTAAGTCCTGGGTTAGAATCTCGCAGGGGGGCGAGGCTGTGGATGACCACTGCTAAGGAGACCCACAATAGGACGAAACGGCCATCCAGTGCTTCCAGGTTTTCCATAGTGGTCTAGCTCCAACTGACTCATGGTCTTAACCATTGAAAATATGTATATTTCTTTACTATCAACTAGTTTGATATACCAAATAAACTGCACTATTATTTCTCACTTTTTTCTTTTTAGTCTACATAATATAACTTTTGATTCATAAGTATTAGAATATAATATTTAATTGCCAATTATATTACTATGTTACACACCATATTATAGGGATGTAATTTTTCCCCAATCATATGTAAATTAGTTAAAACAATTGTGATTGGTCAATTTTCGGTTAACCATATGGAATGTATAAACATCAGCATGTGTTACATTCAAATTTCAATATATTTTATTATTATTCTTATTTATAACTATACAAATATGTATGAAATCGAATGATTTCAAAACAAACAAAAAAAGAACAGTATGTGATAAACGATTCCAAGATACTGGAGTATTATCATCTTGATTAAGTTTTCTTTCATAAAACAAATTTAAAAAAAATGCAAAGTGATATTGTTTCTATTTCCAAACATCAATTACATGAAAATGTTAATACAAATTTGTAAAGTTATAATTTGAATTTTTATACAATTTTACATGTTTATATTTATAATTTAGATTATTTAAAACAAAGAAATGTTGTATAAATACATTTATAGCTTATTATTATTATTGTTATTAAAGTAATTTCTATCATGATATTATAAAATGGAATATAGATGTACAAATGTTCAAATTACAATTTATTTTCACATCATTTATTCAATCGGATTATCGAATTGATAAACTGTATTTCTTAGAATCATTATTTTTCTCTTTATTAAAAGTACGTTTAAGTTATAGTTTTATATTGATTATCATTATGATATGCGATATTTGGTTTACTACCTCTACAAAATTGTTAGTCAATAATTCTATTGATAACCGGATGATTAGTAATATTGTAGATAAAGAATTATCTGAAAGATTAGTTATCAGATCTTCTTCTATTATGTATGATAATTTACAATCATCTAGTGTTGCAAGTCCTATCACTTTCAATGTAAATGAAAATACACCTATTGGAACAATTATCGGTTATATACCTGAATTAATTTATCCTACACCTTTAGCAAACATAAAATTCACTCTTCCGCATAATACATTTTTTGAAATTGATTATAAAGGTGCCCTACGTGTCATTGGTGAGTTGGACAGAGATGATAATCCATATTTATGCCTTGAACCTGGTTATCCACAACATTGTATATGGAGTAGTTTTGCTATTACAACCGATGGTCAATACATAGGATTACGTATTACTGTTAATGATTTAAATGACAACATTCCTAAATGGCCACAATCATTTATTTTGATCAATGTACAAGAAGAAATTAAAACAACACAAACGTTTGAATTGCCTTTAGCTAGTGACCCGGATTATGGCATAAACTCAATACAAGAGTATAGACTGAAAACGGATAAAATGGAATCGAAATATTTTAAATTACTGGTGGAAAAACACAGCATGGAAAATTTAAGTTTATACAACTTTCATTTAGTATTAAGTGTTATTGAGTCATTGGATCGTGAAAGGCAAGCTTGGTATAACTTAAGTCTGTTGGCTATCGATGGCAATAAACCATATCATACAGGTACGTTGAAAATAACTGTTCATATAACTGATGAAAATGATCATACACCAACGTTCTCAAGTAAAATGTATCAAGCTGTAATATCTGAAGACTTAGAAATAGGAAGTGTGATATACTTAACTGAAAACAATCAAACTTTCAACAATGTTGATCCATTAGGTATTCTAAGTGATGATTCATCATCTAAACTTCGTACCAAAAACCAGTTGCATGCTACAGATCCTGATGAAGGCTTAAACGGTGAAATTGAGTACCATTATGCTGCTTCAACACCAAACTCTGTCCTTGAAAACTTTGAGTTAGATAAAAATACTGGACTCTTGTATATAGCTCGGACGTTAAACTACGATATTGGACCAAATGAATGGAATTTTCAAGTAATCGCTTCAGATAAAGGACGTCCACCTAGATCAAGTACAACTACTGTACAAATCAGTCTGAGCGATGCAAATACTCACGCACCAACAATCAAGCCACGTATACAATTGTCAGAAAATTATAAGCAACATTTATCTAGATTGAACATCAGTATTACATCAAATAATCATAACATATTACACATTCCAGAAAATGTTCCTCATACAAATGATGCACTCGTTGTTTTAACAGTTAGTGATCAAGATACTGGGTTGGGTGGTTCTTTTGAATGCAACTTGAAACCAAATGATGTGAACACATTTGTTAAAAGCAGTATTTTGTCAGATATACCAAGTTATCCTGACCATAAAGACCATATTACAATTCAGTCAGTAACAGAACAATTCTATTTAAATTTCACTGGGAAATTACCAAGGTGGAAAATATATAGTATATACGCTACTACAACATTCGATCGTGAACTTGAACCTACACATCTGTTGCATATCGTATGCACTGATGAAGGGACACCAAAAATGACCTCCACATATACACTTACTGTGATTATTGAAGATGAAAATGATAATGCTCCAGAATTTACTGAAAATCAGTATGAAATTCATGTAAGTCAGATTATTGTTTAGTTTGCTACCTTGTATAACCCTCAGTTAACTTTTACAAATGTGAAACAGAACTGTCCATAGATTAGTTTGTTTTGATACTGAGTAATTTGATTGAATCATTCACTTTGAATTTGAAACATTGACACAATAGCGTTAAAATGTTTTCATTTATTAAAATACAAATTACATAACTAAACGTCTGGTAAATAAAGCCAGTCATATGTTCTGAAAGTGTGCAAAACATGAGATACGTCTGTATTCAGTTATTTTGTGATGAGATATTGCTTGAATAACCATTAGGACTTTTCGAATATTCAAGCTAGACATTTTAGCAGATATTCAATTATTGAATAATCATAAGAAATCAAAATTTGTATATAATTTTCTCATCAGTTTCTCCTCTAGATTTCATTAGATACTGATTTAAAAAAAATAACATTCATTGTATTTTTAAATATCGTAACGCATTAAGAATTTCAACACAAACTCTTCAAAAATACCAAAGGAATAATTTCATACAGGTTGAACAAGTTAGAGGTTCTGTGATCATTGTAAAGTAATAGATAACGCGTTGATAGGTAGTAGGTTCGAATTTCAATATGAAGATCAAGCTGGAATGTAACTCTATTCTCTTGACATGCCTATAAAACAAAAGGTGTGTTCCTGATATTACTTTACTTATAACAACTTTTTTAACATATTGCTATTCGACTCTAAAACATTTAATATGATACACTGACATCAGATAGAAATCCTTAATGTGTTGAGTACTTTCTTTAAGGAAAGGAAAAAGAAATGAGAACTTAACTTGTTAACCGTCTAAATGATGTTTTAATTTATTATGAAAGAATCGGTACAAATAAGCAATGAGTTTTTATATAGTATAGTTTCTTTAAACGTGAATCGTTCAGAATAGAAAAGTTAAAGACCAGCACTTAAGTTCATTTGCACATTTATGTTGATCTAGTATTCATATAAAACAAATTGTTTATTAAATTTATAAGGTTAGTGATAGATTCAACTAACAAACTCTCATTTCATTTCACTTTTAATGAACAACATATGCTGAAATGTGGAAAAGTATAAAATATAAGATTCCTAAAGTCGACTACTTATTTACTTACTCCTGTTACTCTTAATGGGGCATGGGTCGCCGACCAGCATTCCTCATATGTTTAAATACGAATGACTTATTAACAATAAATTTTATGAGTAAACATATTTCATTTATACAAACAGATTGTAATCAATTATTTTTCAAGCATAAATACTAGACATTCTAAATTATCATTCTCATTTATTTATGAATTTGTGAAATATGAATCTATTGAGTAAAGTTGTGACAGATCTAAACATCAGATCATCAGGTTCAATACAGAATTTAATATATAATGAAATATATGGTATTTCCAAATACAACACAAATTCGTGACAACTAACATTTACAGTGAAACAAAATAGCATGTAGAAATGAACACAGTAAATGTGTTTCGTCATTACAGTAATAACTTATCCTGATGCTTTAATTTTAGTCTAAATAGTTGCAATAATGGATGAATAATAAAAGATAAAAAGTTATGAAGGCACAAACCTATTTTTTTTTCATTAAAAATAGGAATTATTCTAGATCAGATAATGCTGTAATTCGCTAATACATACATCCTCTTTCATATGGCTTCATTTGTTTTATTTGCTGTAGAATAAGTTTAGTTTAAACAGGTCTAATTGTTTCAAGACGGTATTTATCATAGATTCGCTTTATCCATGGTATTGTTTAAAACCATGAAGTTATAGTTTAGCAAATCTCAGCAGTTAATGCTCAAAATGAGTATCACTAAATTTTAATCCATGATACATAAAAGTCTCAATTCTCAACATGGCTGTAGGTGTATGCTGTTCAAGACTCGTAACTAAGATGAAACATATACCTAATTTTCTTCAGATAAGTTCAGTTTATGGTAAAAATCAACAGTACTAAACAAATCAATCCTCATAAAATCTGTTAATGAAATATCCTACATGCTTAGTAATAGAAAGATTCCGAATTATTTCCAGATAATTCTGTCACACATGATTAGAAAAAAGTATACTAAGCATAGTATGATAAAATGTTAAAATCGAAATGAACTATAGTCAGCAGGGTCATAGAAACAGAAATAAATTTGTTGAATTAAATGTTTAATAGAGAAGAAAATAGAAAGGGAGTAGATGGCTATGATGGAAGGAAATAAAAATGATTACGACAGATTAAAACCATTGTAAGATAAGAGTTTGTTTCTTTCGTACACATAATTCTGTTGTTTTTCTTCAAATATATAGAAAATACTTTGGTAATCCTAAGAAAATGGAAGCTAACATATATTTGTCAAGGCATTTGTATATCTAAAGTAATAAAGGTCAACTAAATAAAACCTCAAATGTATCTTGTAACTTTTGTAAATCAAAGAGAGAAAATGATTAATATATGTCTACTTCAATTGCTATATAAGTGATCTCTATTACTTTCTATATATATACGCCTCGACAAGTATATGGGTGACCAGTTTGTGCTCAATATATAACACAAATACATCATATTTTTCAGATCAACTCTATCTTTTTACTATTCTATCCAAATTTCATAAAACGAACTAATTACTGTATATTTACAATTGCCTAAATGTGAAGGTATTTCAGGTGAGACTCTAATTTATGGACGAGCCAATCAGAAGCGTTTTAGAGCTTTCAACGTTACGGCGCCAACTTCAGCGCTCAAGGCTAACGTACGATCAGTTCACAGGGAATTTTGTACAAAACGTGATAATTGAGCGGCTATAACAAATAAAACGGCGAGACTATAATTTGTGAACGAATCAAACGGATCTCGGAGATAAACGCAAAAGCCTTTCATTCATTTGGCTAAATAAATTTCTGGCATTATAGCTGATGTCAGTTCATAATGAAAACCCCATATATAATTCCTAACTAGGCCAAATTATGACAATCATTGCGCACTGGATAATAAAAGCACCAGTAACACTGGCTGCAGCCAGGTACTACAATATATACGGATGATTGAAGAGCCTACAGACTCCTACACATGTTTGGTTATGCACATCGTGTCGTTATCCACAAGTGGCACTTTGTGTACTCAACAACCGCAGTGCACGCAAACAATCTTGAAGCTATGTAGTCGAGGCTGAAAGGGTTTTTGAGACTTTATCATGGCTCCAGAGGCCGACTATTCTGTAGCCGTATGGATGATTTCCTCTACTGCATGCATTACGATCTTAGAACCTCTAGACCTCTTTCTAACCCTGACAAGTTTTTGAACCACGTATAACAAGTGTATCCACTTTATTTCCTTGGTTTTGTATAATATATTTTTACTCTATACTGACTGTATGCTGATTGGCTAGTATTTCTCAGGTCATTAAAGATTCGTTCAAACGTCGTCTATAAATTAGAGTCTTGCCGTATTTCCTTTAGAGATTGTCTTAATAATACAGAAATGAAACTTGTTTCATTATTTTTAAAAAATAAATTCTTAAATATTTTATTTTACAAATTAAACTCAAAACTGATAAAACAGGTTTCTACATAACTATTCATTGTCAGTGTTTACCCAACTTCGTAAATTCATTGTTAAAATAATGATACAGACATTGAAGACAAACCATTTTTATAATTAGATTCATCTTATCCAATTTGTATTCATGATATATGAAGAATGGTCTTAGTTAATGGACAAATATAATAAAATTTTAAGAAAAAAGTAACCATATTTGTTTTTTTGTTCAGAAATATAAGATTTGTTCTTCATCATTTGGAAGTATTTTATTTCTTTTAAATGATGAAAATGAATGATCAGACTCCCCCTTTCTCCCTCCCTCCCTCATAAAATGATGTAAAAGATATTTTGGTTTAATTATTTTTTTTTCATCATGTTTTTACACTAGTATCTATAGGTTTTGAATAGTTAAAATAAAGAGGAAGCTAGTGGAATTGTCTTAGGGTGAATGATGATAATTTTCATTCTATGTGGAAGATGAACTCTATCCTATGAATGACTATGATTGATTTTAATTGTTAGTTTGTTTGCGTATTCATTATAGAATATGATTCTTTACATAATGAATGGTATTTTACGAGAAAATACAAGCGTAAATTCATATAGAAGTTTCATATTTGAAATGATCGTCATTATTATTTTTGGTGTTACATTTATGTTAAACTTGATGGCCACAAATGTATGAATGACATAAGTTGGACATAGAAACAACGTAGTATACTATAATCTATATTGTACAGTTAGTTGTACATTAATTTTGAGTTATAATGACTTTCTAGTCATATTAAATCGCTTAAGTTATTTCCGTAATTTTTAGCAATATTACCAAATATTCAGTTATCCATTAAAACTATGAATAATATTACTTTGTTTTATTTTGTAATTAAAGTCAATTATACACATAATACATTAAGTATAGGCTTTAAAAAAAAAAGAAAGTTTAGGAGTTTTACGTAAAGCACTCAGAAGAACAGTTGCGGAAAATAGTACTATGGTAACCCATTTTAAAACCAAAAATGGAACTAAGTAAAGAAAATAAAGCTTTTTCTTATTAAAAAAATATAACTTGGAAAATTTTAAAAAATTTACTAGTTTTAAACAACATTCATTTCAATAATTTAGGTAGAGAGGAACTAAGATTTCGCTGGGCTGTAGAAAAAGAATGAAATATTATAATCTGAATGTACATTTTCAAACCTCCCACTATGGTTTAAACAATCAAAGAATTTATTTACTTGATGAATATAAAGAAGAATGTAGCAAAACAAATGTTATCCAAATGGATTTTTCCTTTCATATTATATACAACACTAAACACTAAAGTCTTGTTACCATCATTTAGTTTGTGAGAGTATGGTTGAACATGTATTTCATGACAATATTTGAACTCATTTTTATTATATGGGAATATCAATGATGTTAAGTGGTTGTATGGAACCAGCTTTGAATT